AAGCTCTTACGTCTGTTGGTAGTTCAAGAAAATATTTTTTTAAAAATCCACGTCTATTGGTAGTTCAAGAAAATATTTTTTTTTAAAAATTCACATCTGTTAATGGTTAGAGAAAATATTTTTTTTACCTTGAAAAAATATATTTTTTTAAAAAATCCACAAGCTCTTAATATTTCAAAAAAATATTTTTTTAAAAGTAGTTCAAGAAAATATATTTTATAAATCCACGCCTGTTGGTAGTTTTTTTTTTAAATTCACGCCTGTTAGTAGTTTTGTCTGTTGGTAGTTCAAGAAAATATTTTTTTAAAAATCCACGTCTGTTGGTAGTTCAAGAAAATATTTTTTTAAAAATCCACGTCTGTTGGTAGTTCAAGAAAATATTTTTTTTAAAAATCCACGTCTTTTGGTAGTTCAAGAAAATATTTTTTTTAAATCCACGACTGTTAGTAGTTCAAGAAAATATTTTTTTAAATCCACGCCTGTTGGTAGTTCAAGAAAATATTTTTTTAAAAATTCACGTCTGTTGGTAGTTCAAGAAAATATTTTTTAAAAATCCACAACTGTTGGTAGTTCAAGAAAATAATTTTTTTAAAAATCCACGTCTGTTGGTAGTTCAAGAAAATATTTTTTAAAAAATCCACGTCTGTTGGTAATTTATGAAAATATGGATATTTTGAAAAAAGTCCACGTCTGTAGATAATTTGAAAAAAAAACTTGTACTTTCAAAAAATATTTTTAAAGAATCCACTTCTGCTGACACTTAAAAAAATAGTTTTTAAAAAATTCACTTCTGCTAACATCTAAAAAATAGTTTTTAAAAAATCCACGTGTTTTTTTATAATTCAAAAAAATATTTATTTTAAATACTCCAAGTCTGTTAATACTTCGAAAAAATCTTTTCAAAAAGTCAACGGCTGTGGCTACTTTGAAAAAATATATATTTTTAAAATTTACCTTTGTTGATCCTTCGAAAAAGTATTTTTGAAAACAAAACCGCTTCTGCCGATACTTTAAAAAAAATATTTTTTTAAAAAATCTACGCCTGTTGCTACTTTGAAAAAATATTTTTTAAAACCTCCTAGCCTATTAATACTTTGAAAGAATATTTTTTTTAAAAATCCATGTCTGTTAATATTTTGGAAAAATAAGTTTTTAGAACATCCACATTTGTTGGTAATTTGAAAAATATGTACTTTGAAAAAAAAAATATTTTTTTAAGAATCTATCTTTGTTGATACTTTAAAAAAATATTGTTTAATAAAATCCATATTTGTTATAATTCGAAAAAATATTTTTTTAAACAATCCACGTAGGTTGAAACTTCGATAAAACATTTTTTATAAAATTTACATCTGTGGATACTTTAAAAAATAGTGTTAAAAAATATACATACACGTTTATAATTTAAAAAAAATATTTTTTTAAAAAATCCATATCTTTCGATATTACAAACAATATTTATATGAAAATTCATGCCTTTTCATAATTTAAATTTTTTTTTTAAATACACCACAGGTGATCCTTTAAAGAATTATTTAAAAAAAATCCACGTCTTTTGAAAAAATATTTTTATCAAAATCCATATCTGTTTATAATTTGAAAAAAAATCTTTTTTTAAAAAATCTGTTGTTATGTTGAAGAAATATTTAAAAAAAAAACACATCTGTTGATGGATCGAGAAAATATATATTTTATTAAAATCCACATATTTTGATACTTCGAAAAAGTATTTTTTTTTTTTAAATCCACATCTATTGATATTTTGAAAAAAATATTTAAAAAAAAATCCACGTCTATTGTTATTTTTATTTGACAATTTAAAAAGTATTTATTTTAAATACTCCAAGTCTGTTAATACTTCGAAAAAGAAATTAAATATTTTTTTAAAAAATCTAAACCGAAAAATTTTTTTTTTTTTTTTTAAATCTCCATTTGTTGATAATTCGAAAAAAAATATGTTTTTAAAAAATCCACATTTGTTGATAATTCGAAAAAAATATTTTTTTTAAATCCACGTTTGTTAATAGTTTTGGAAAAATATTTTTAAATCCAAAGCTGTTAATATTTTCAAAAAACATATTTTTTTAATATTTTTATTTTTTTAATAAATCCACGTCTGTTGAAACCTTAAATAAATAGTTTTTAATAAATCCACGTCTTGTGAAACCTTAAATAAATAGTTTTTAATTAAATCCACGTCTTGTGAAACCTTAAATAAATAGTTTTTAATTAAATCCACGTCTTGTGAAACCTTAAATAATAGTTTTTAATTAAATCCACGTCTTGTGAAACCTTAAATAAATAGTTTTTAATTAAATCCACGTCTTGTGAAACCTTAAATAAATAGTTTTTAATTAAATCCACGCCATGTGAAACCTAAAAAAATATTTTTTAAATAAATCCACGTCTTGTGAAACCTTAAAAATAAACCTTAAATAATTTTTTTTTAATAAATCCACGTCTGTTGAAACCTTAAATAAATATCTTTTAATTAAATCCACGGCTATTGAAACCTTAAAAAATATTTTTTTAAAAAATCCACGGCTATTGAAACCTTAAAAAATATTTTTTTTAAAAATTCACGGCTATTGAAACCTTAAAAAATATTTTTTTAATAAATCCTCATCTGTTGAAACCTTAAAAATTTTTTTTAATAAATAAATAATAAATGAAACCTTAAAAAATATTTTTTTTTTAAATCCAAAAATAAAAAGAATTTTAAAAAATATTTTTTTTTAATTAAAAATACGATTTTTGTTTAAATTACAAATAAAAAAATACAAAATTTTTAATTCATTTCCTTTCCGTTTCAGGAGATTTAAATCACTGCTGGCGCCGCTACGATGGCTACAATCTCCAGAACACGATTGTCAATAAAAAGGAACAGCTGAAGAAACCCTATGGCATTCTGTGCAATTTTAAGTGCACCTGGTTTTTTACAATAAGGTATGTACTCACATTTGGCGCCTGCTGTATGACATAATAAATTCTAAATTTTTGTTTATTTTTTCAAACTCAGTTTCCCCACCTGTGAATTCATCTACGATTACAAGCTGTCGTGTTACTTATTCACCTCACTGCCGGATTGTACCACCGTCAAATGTACGCTGCTCAACTATTTTACATAATCGTAATTTGCGAAAGAACAAAAATAACAAAACAAAACTTAGCAACAGCAGCAAACATCATTAGTTAGCAGAGAAATAGCAAAAAAAAACAACAACGAATAATAATTTTTTAAAATATAGAAGAAATTAAAAGAATGATATAATACAGCTCAGTTCAATTTTAATAATAAAAAGTAAAATTAAAATAATTATAAAAAAAATAGTAATAATAATAATAAATATTTATTTTTTTAAAAAAAATAAAAATTATAATAATAATAATAAATATAACAATATATTTTTTTAATTAAAATAGTAATAAAAAATAAATAAAAAAATAGCCACAATAATAATTATAATAATTCTTACAGTAATAATTAAATTAAATAATTAATTTTTAAAATTAAAAGAAAATAATACTAGTAATAATTATAACAATAATAATTAAAACAACAATAATAATATTTTAAGCTAGCAGATTTGTATTGCTTTGGTTCTGTAAGCGATTTCATTAAAGTAAAACTAATTAAAATTATTATTTTTTATTTTATTTTGTTTAATTTTAAGTTCAATAACAATTTTTATTTTGTAAATAAATTTAAGTTAAAAAAAAAATTAAAAAAAATTCTGTGGCCTTTCTTGGAAAATCAATCGAGAATCACCAGCCATGGACTTAAAATACAGGGTGAGATAAAAAAAACTGCAACAAAGTCAAACGAAATTTTTTTTAAAAATATTTTTTTCCAAAAACCAATAGACGTCGATTTTTAAAAAAAAAAATATTTTTTCCAAAGACAAAAAGAAGTGAATTTTTAAAAAATATTTTTTTTTTTCAAATACCAATAGACGTGGATTTTTTAAAATATTTTTTTTCAAATACCACTAGTCGTGGATTTTTTAAAAATATTATTTTCCAAAAACCAATAGACGTGGATTTTTTAAAAATATTATTTTCCAAAAACCAATAGACGTAGATTTTAAAAAATATTTTTTTTTTGAAAGACAAATAGAAGCGGATTTCAAAAAATCCAAATACTAATAGCCGTTGATTTTTTAAAAAATATTTTTTTGTCAAATATCTATAGAGGTGGATTTTTGTTTAAATATTTTTTTCCAAATACAAATAGTCCTGGATTTTTAAAAAATATTTTTTTTTCAAATACCAATAGATGCGGATTTTTCAAAAATATTTTTTTCCAAATATCAACAGTCATGGATTTTACAAATAAATATTTTTGAAAATAATTTTTTTTCACAGGCCAAATGAAATGGATTTTTTAAAAATATTTTTTTTTGCAAAGACCAATAGACGCGGATTTTTAAAAAATATTTTTTTCAAATACCAAGAGACGTGTATTTTTTATTTAAAGATATTATTTTCCAAAAACCAATAGATGTGGATTTTTTAAAAATATTTTTTTTTCAAAGATCAATATACTTGGATTTTTATGAAATATTTTTTTCAAATACCAAGAGACGTGGATTTTTTATTTAAAAATATTATTTTCCAAAAACCAATAGACATTGACTTTTTAAAAATATTATTTTCCAAAAACCAATAGACGTGGATTTTTAAAAATATTATTTTCCAAAAACCAATAGACGTGGACTTTTAAAAATATTATTTTCCAAAAACCAATAGACGTTGATTTTTTAAAAAATATTATTTTCCAAAAACCAATTGACGTGGATTTTTTAAAAAAATATTATTTTCCAAAAACCAAAAGACGTGGATTTTTAAAAAATATTTTTTTTTGAAAGACAAATAGAAGCGGATTTCAAAAAATCCAAATACTAATAGCCGTTGATTTTTTAAAAATATTTTTTTCCAAATACTAATAGCCGTTGATTTTTTAAAAATATTTTTTTCCAAAAATCAAAAGACGTGGATTTTTTAAAAATATTATTTTCCACAAACCAATAGACGTGGATTTTTTAAAATATTATTTACCAAAAACCAATATACGTGGATTTTTTAAAAATATTATTTTCCAAAAACCAATAGACGTGGATTTTTTAAAAATATTATTTTCCAAAAACCAATAGTCGTGGATTTTTTAAAAATATTATTTTCCAAAAACCAATAGACGTGGATTTTTTAAAAATATTATTTTCCAAAAACCAATAGTCGTGGATTTTTTACAAATATTATTTTCCAAAAACCAATAGACGTGGATTTTTTTAAAAAATATTATTTTCCAAAAACCAATAGACGTGGATTTTTTAAAATATTATTTTCCAAAAACCAATAGACGTGGATTTTTTAAAAAAATATTATTTTCCAAAAACCAATAGACTGAATTTTTTAAAATATTATTTTCCAAAAACCAATAGACGTGGATTTTTTAAAAATATTATTTTCCAAAAACCAATAGACGTGGATTTTTTAAAAATATTATTTTCCGAAAACCAATAGACGTGAATTTTTAAAAATAATATTTTCCAAAAACCTATAGATATGGATTTTTTAAAAATATTTTTTCAAATACCAAGAGACCTGGATTTTTTAAAAAATATATATTTTTTTCAGAGACTACTAGACGTGGATTTTTTAAAAAAATATTATTTTCCAAAAACCAATAGACGTGGATTTTTTAAAAATATTATTTTCCAAAAACCAATAGACGTGGATTTTTTAAAAATATTATTTTCCAAAAACCAATAGACGTGGATTTTTTAAAAAAATATTATTTTCCAAAAACCAATAGACGTGGATTTTTAAAAAATATTTTTTTCAAATACCAAGAGACGTGTATTTTTTATTTAAAGATATTATTTTCCAAAAACCAATAGATGTGGATTTTTTAAAAATATTATTTTCCAAAAACCAATAGACGTGGATTTTTTAAAAATATTATTTTCCAAAAACCAATAGACGTGGATTTTTTAAAAAATATTATTTTCCAAAAACCAATAGACGTGGATTTTTTAAAAATATTATTTTCCAAAAACCAATAGACGTGGATTTTTAAAAAAAATATTTGTTTTTCAGAGACTACTAGACGTGGATTTTTTAAAAATATATTTTTTTCAGAGACTACTGGACATGGATTTTTTAAAAATATTTTTTTCCAAAGGCCAATAGTCAAGGATTTAAAAAATATTTTTTTCAAATACCAAGAGACGTGAATTTAAAAAAAAATATATATTTTTTAAGACTACTAGACGTGGATTTTTTAAAAATATTTTTTTCCAAAGACCAATAGACAAGGATTTAAAAACTATTTTTTTCAAATACCAAGAGACGTGAATTTTTTAAAAAAATATATTTTTTTTCAGAGACTACTAGACGTGGATATTTTAAAAATATTATTTTCCAAAAACCAATAGACGTGGATTTTTTAAAATATATTTTTTTCAAAGACCAATAGCCAAGGATTTAAAAAAATATATTTTTTTCAAAGACCAATAGCCAAGAATTTAAAAAAAAAAACATTTTTCCACAGACCCCTAGAAATGAATTTTTTAAAAAATATTATTTTCGAAAATTAATAGGCTTGGATTTTTTAAAAATATTTTTTTCACATTTTCCCCCGTTCAGATACTTTTCAAACGTATTTTCATTTCAGCATATTTCAAGGAGTATTCCGTTTTCCATTTCAGCCAACCCACTCCCGGCTGTTTGTAATTATCCGAGGGCCTATAAAGACCAGTTAGGTGGCTGGAACAAAATTTAAACAAAATATTATTTTTTTAACTTTGAATATTTTTTTTAAAATTCCCCAAAACAACTACCTCTCATAGCACTCGGCATACCACCAGGCGCCCTTCCATCGGGAGGCACAATTATTACCCACATCGTTCCACTGATCGTGGGTGGAGAAATTTCTACCCTGATGAATGCGTAGGGCATCGCCTGCATCGCCTGCATCGCCGCTATACGGTCCCAGCAGTTTGAGGGCGTAATATTCCTTTTCGTTGCCGATTTTGAAATAATCATAGAAGGCATAACGCATTTCATTGTCCCAATCCTTTAAAACGATCATCAGCTCCTGGCTGCTGTTCGTTGTCATGGCATAGAGCCTATCGAGGCCAATGAAAAACTCACCCTCCGTCGAATTGCCAAAGCCCTGTTTGTAATCCGACCATGTACGATAAAAGTCCACCGAGCCATCCTGGCGTCTCAGTATGGTTATCCACTTGTGCTGGGAGGCTTTACAATCCTCCAGTGATGCAATGCGATTCTCTAGATTTTCCAGAGTGGCTCTCAACTTGGCGTTGTCCCTCGCCAGATTGTCGAGTCTGGTGAAAAGGGTTTTCCACACAAGAATCATGTCATCATCGTCGGGGGATATCTGCATGAGAAACATTCAATAAAAAACTGAATTAAAAACTTATTTTACACTGACCCCATATTGATCCACTTTCGTACTCCCTATTGCTGCGAAGCAGATAAGAATGCTGCAGACAAAGAGCTTCATTTTCATTGACGTCCGGCAAGCGATTAAATGACATTTTTTTCAAAATAACATTTTGCCCAGAGAATTTCAGCACGTAATTACCGGGAATCAATTGAGATAAGGGAGACGCCGAACCCATCCCCCAGACTCCGAGGGGCCTTGCAAAATATTATTTGAGAAGTCTTGTCTTTGAAAAATTGAAAACTGGACAAAGTTCATGTTTTCGTAAAAATATTTTTTAAATATATATTTTTTAATTCACTTAAAAAATTCTAACTTCTTGGCAAAATGTGAAATGAAAATCAATGTCATTGGAATAAATATTGAAAAAAAAATTATGTTCCTCAAAAAATAATTGAAAAAAACTCGTTGCATACGGGAAATAGGAAAAAACAAGCCTTTCGAAAACCATTTATAAAAAGATCCACGCCTTTCGAAACATATTTTTGTAACAAAAATCCAGGCCTTTCAGTTTTTTTTTTATTTAAATTTACGCCTTTCGGAAAATATTAAAAAAATCCAAGCCTTAAAAAACTTGAAAAATCCACGCCTTTCGGAAAATATTAGAAAAAATCCAAGCCTTTCAAAAAAAGAAAAAAACCTAAAAAAAATCCACGCCTTCCGGAAAATATTAAAAAAATCCAAGTCTTTCAAAAAAGAAAAAAATTTAAAAAATCCACGCCTTTCGGGAAATATTAAAAAAAAATCCAAGCCTTTCAAAAAAAAGAAAAAAATCAACGCCTTTCGGATAATATTTTTTATAAAATAAACGCCATTCATTTTTTAAACCCACGTCATTCGAAAAAAATAAATATCCACGCCTTTCGAAAAATATATTTTTAAAAGAAAAATCCACGCCTTTCAAAAAAAAAAATAAAAAATCCACACCTTTCGAAAAATATATATATTTTTTTTAAATCCAAGCCATTCAATAAATGTATTTAAAAAAATCCACGCCATTCGAAAAATATATTTTTTTTTAAATCCAAGCCATTTGAAAAATATATATTTTTTTTAAATCCAAGCCATTCGAAAAATATTTTTTTTTAAATCCAAGCCATTCGAAAAATATTTTTTTTAAATCCAAGCCATTCGAAAAATATTTTTTAATCCACGCCTTCCTTTCGGAAAATATAAAAAATCCACGCCTTCCTTTCGGAAAATATAAAAAATCCACGCCTTCCTTTCGGAAAATATAAAAAATCCACGCCTTCCTTTAGGAAAATATAAAAATCCACGCCTTCCTTTAGGAAAATATAAAAAATCCACGCCTTCCTTTAAGGAAATATAAAAAATCCACGCCTTCCTTTCGGAAAATTAAAAAAATCCACGCCTTACTTTCGGAAAATATAAAAAATCCACGCCTTCCTTTCGGAAAATATAAAAAATCCACGCCTTACTTTCGGAAAATATAAAAAATCCACGCCTTCCTTTCAAAAAATAAAAACATTCCACGCCTTCCTTTCGGAAAATATAAAAAATCCACGCCTTCCTTTCGGAAAATATAAAAAATCCACGCCTTCCTTTCGGAAAATATAAAAAATCCACGCCTTCCTTTCGGAATATATTAAAAATTTACGCCTTCCTTTCAGAAAATATAAAAAATCCACGCCTTCCTTTCGGAAAATATAAAAAATCCACGCCTTCCTTTCGGAAAAAAAAAACCACGGCTTTCAAAAATAAAGTAAAAAATCCACGCCTTCCAAAAATAAAGTAAAAAATCCACGCCTTTCAAAAAAAAAATATTAAAAAAAATCCACGCCTTTCGAAAAATATTTTTTAAAAAAAAATCCAATTAAAATATATTTATCAAAAAAAAAAAAAATAAAAATCCGTCCCTTTCAAAAAATATTTTTTTTTTAAATCCAAGCGATTTGATTTTTTTTTTAAATCCAAGCCAATCGAAAAATATTTTTTTTAATCCACGCCTTCCGAAAAACATTTTCATAAAAAAAATCCAAAATAATCCACGCCGGAAGGTATTAACAGAAATTCACGCCTTTCAAAACAAAAAAAATATAAAAGTCCACGTCTTTCGAAAAATATTTTTTATAAAAAATCCACGTCTTTCGAAAAATATATTTTTTTAAAAAATTCACGTCTTTCGAAAAATATGTTTTTTAAAAAATCCACGTCTTTCGAAAAATATTTTTTTTTATAAAAAAATCCACGTCTTCCAAAAAATATTTTTTATAAAAAAAATTCACGTCTTTCTAAAACGATTTTTTAAAAAAATCCACGCCTTTCAGAAATATTAAAAAAATCCAAGCCATTCAAAACAAAAAAAAAAAATAAAAAATCCACGCCTTTCAAACCAAAAAAATTAAAAAATCCACGCCTTTCAAAACAAAAAATAAAAAATCCACGCCTTTCAAAACAAAACAAAAAAATCCACGCCTTTCGAAAAATATTTTTTTTAAACCCACGCCTTTCAGAACGAAAAAAATTAAAAAATCCACGCCTTTCGAAACGAAAAAAATTAAAAAATCCACGCCTTTCAAAACAAAAAAAAAATAAAAAAGCCACGCCTTTCAAAACAAAACAAAAACAATTAAAAATCCACGCCTTTCAAAACAAAAAAATTAAAAAAATCCACGCCTTTCGAAAAATATTTTCTTTTTTAATTTAACAAAAATCCAATCCTTTCAAAAATATTTTAAAACTCCCTCCACCATTGCAACGAATTTGGCAATTCTCAAAAACAATAAAATCGGTTAAAAATGCTGTTGAAATCTTAAAAGTACCGAATATAGCTGTTAAATTAGGTTCTCTACGACGACATGGACCTGCACAGACAATTTTCTGTCTTAGGCTGTAGTATACATTACGAACTTCAAATGCTAAATTTGAAAGAATTCCGGTGAATAATGTCCCAAAAATCATCAAAATACCGAATATCGGGAGGTAACGTTATATGGGGGCTATACGAAGACGTGGACCTGCACAGACAATTTTCTGTCTTAGGCTGTAGTATCCATTACGAACTTCAAATACCAAATTTGAAACAATTCCGGTGAATAATGTCGCTGAAAACATCAAAATACCGAATATCGGGAGGTAACGTTATATGGGGGCTATACTAAGACGTAAACCTACATGGCCCATTTTCTATACCTAAGGTCTTGCAGACATAATATACATTTGAGTAAAATTTTATCAATCTACTTCAATTCGTTCAGAAGCTAGAGTGATTTCCACAGAGGGACCGACGGACGGACAAACGGACGGACATTGCTAAATCGACATAGAATTTTATGCTGATCAAGAATATATATACCTTGTGGGGCCTAAAATGTATATTTCGAGGTGTTACAAACGGAATCACAAACTCAATATACCCTCCATACTATGGTGGAGGGTATAATATTTAAAAAAAAAAACTTTAATTTTTTAAAAAATATCTTTTTTTAAAAAAATATTTTTTTTAAATAATTATTTTAAAAAAAAAATAATTTTTTAAAAATATATTTTAAAAACATAATAATAAAAATTCTCTTGAATACACCCAACTTATTTTAAAACCCACTTTTTTTAAAAACTCACCTTCTTCGGAAAACCCCACAACTTTTTTTTTTTTAATTTTTTTAAATCTGATTAAAAAATAATTGAATATTAAACGCAGCTCACTATCGAAATCCCTGACCTTGTTGGTCTTCCTCTCAACAGCACCGATAAGAAATGTTCAGTTTTGCATTCTGAATCTGATTTCTCATCAAATCTGAAATAAATTGCATGGATTTTAGGAATTAGTTTTCAGTCGACAAATAGATTTTCGTCACAGAATGAAGATAATTCAGCTACTGTTATGGGCCCTGTGCTGGGCATGTGTTCTGTGCAAGGAAAGCTCAAGGAGGAGGAGTGAGGTAAAGTGAAAAAAAAAAAATATTTGAAATATTTTCAAATTCTTAAAAAATGGAAGAAAACTGTTATTAAAAAAATTCCAAAAAAAACTATAAAAAGCTAAAAATTTAATTAAAAAATTGAAAAAAAAAATTAAAAAATTGCTATGAAAATTTCAAAAAAAAAAAATAAATAAATAATTAAAAAATTAATAAATTGCTATAAAAAGGACCAATTGTATACTCCATAGATAATATTTAATTTTTCTCAAAGATTTTCATTTTTTTTTTATAAAACTAAAAAAGGCTGAAAATTTAATTAAAAAATTGAAAAAAAAAAATTAAAAAATTAAAAAAAAAATAAAAAATTGAAAAAAAAAATAAAAAATTTCTATAAAAATTCAAAAAAAACTACACCGGTTGAATAAATAATTAAAAAATTAATAAATTGCTATAAAAAGGACCAATTGTATACTCCATAGATAATATTTAATTTTTCTCAAAGATTTTCAATTTTTTTATAAAACTAAAAAAGGCTGAAAATTTAATTAAAAAATTGAAAAAAAAATTAAAAAATTGAAAAAAAAAATAAAAAAGTCCAAAAAAACCTAAACCTGTGGAATAAATAATTAAAAAATTAAATAAATTGCTATAAAAAGGACCAATTGTATACTCCATAGATAATATTTCATTTTTCTCAAAGATTTTCAATTTTTTTTTTTTATAAAACTGAAAATTTTTTAAGTTAAAAAAATGAAAAAAAAATTAAAAAATTGAAAATAAAAAATTTCTATAAAAAGTCCAAAAAACCTAAACCTGTTGAATAAATATTTTGAAAATTAAATAAATTGCTATAAAAAGACCAATTTTATATTCTATTTTTTCAAATATTCTCAATTTAATTAATTAAAAAATTGAAAATTTAATTAAAAAATTGAAAAAAAAAAATTAAAAAATTGAAAAAAAAAAATAAAAAATTGCTATAAAAAGTCCAAAAACCTAAACCTGTTGAATAAATAATTAAAAAATTAAATAAATTTCTATAAAAAGGAGCAATTTTAACTCTATTTTTTTCAAATATTCTCAATTTAATTAATTAAAAAATTGAAAATTTAATTAAAAAATTTAAAGAAAAAATTAAAAAATTGAAAAAAAATAAAAAATTGCTAAAAAAAAAGTCGAAAAAAAACCTAAACCTGTTGAATAAATAATTAAAAAATTAAATAAATTTCTATAAAAAGGAGCAATTTTAACTCTATTTTTTTCAAATATTCTCAATTTTTTTTTTATAAAAATCTTAAAAATAAAATTATTTTGGAAATTTTATTTGAAAATTAAATAAATTGCTATAAAAAGGACCAACTGTATAATATTTATTTTTTTTTTCAAATATTCTCGATTTTTTTTTTTTTTAAAAATTTCAAAAATAAAATTGTTTTTGAAATTTTATTTTTTTTTTTTCATTTTAAAATTCTTCGAAAGTTTAAATCATAATTAAAAAAAAAAACAAAAATAATAAAAAAAAGATTTTTGCAAATTCTGACAAAAAGTGCTAGAAAAATTTCGAAAAATACCGAAAATTTTTCAAATAAAAAAAAAAACAAAATTGTAATTCTAAAAAATTTCCGAAAATATTAAAAATTTATTTTTTCAGAATGACGAAGAATCGATTTCGGACAAATTGGAAACTCTTTTGACCAAGACAAGTTCCATGCAGAAACATCTAAAGGGTTTGGAACGAAAGTGAGTATTCCCAATCAGACCTCAAACTCAAAATGTCTTTAAACATCCTTTGATTTTTTTCAGAATTGATGAACTTGTGAAAAGGTCAGTATAAAAGAGGTGGGGTGGGGAGAGAGGAATAGCTTTCCTATGATTTCCATTATTGATTCTCCCCCCTTAGATCAAATGCCCAGCTGGCCCACATGGCTGAGTTGCAGAAAGCCAACTGGCAAACGATACAGAGACGTCAAGATGGTACCGTTAATTTCTATCGAAATTGGACTGAATATAAAACGGGTTTTGGCAATCATTCAGACAGTGAATTTTTTGTGGGTCTTGAAAAACTACACGAACTAACCTCTGGCAAGCCTCACGAATTGTTGATAATTCTCAAAGACTGGGAAAATGACACCCGTTATGCCCACTACAGTCATTTTGAAATTGCCGGAGAGGATGCCAACTATGCCCTACGGATGCTGGGTGAATACAGCGGCAATGCTGGCGATGGCATGCAATATTATCTGGGCCAGAAATTTTCCACATTCGACAATGACAACGATGAAGATGCCAATACCAATTGTGCGCGACTTTATCAAAGTGCCTGGTGGTTTAAAAATTGTGCTCTGAGGTGAGGGAGATGGAAAAATTGAGATATTTGAAATCAAATGATTTTTCTTCATTTCCAGCGATCTGAATGGGCCATACCAAGAAGAAGACTATGCCACCAATGATGGGATTACCTGGTCCGAATGGACCGGAATGAATTATTCATTGAAATTTGCTGAAATGAAAATAAAACCTAAAGTCTTTTAAATTTTTAAAAAAAATACAAAAAAAATTTAATTCCATGGAGCAGACCATTTGTAGGTGGAGTCCATGCAATTTTATTCCTTTCCACAGTTGAACATCATGGTTTGTTTTTTTTTTTTTTTATGTTTTAGGCATAAACTCCCGTCTCCAGTGGCTGGACCTCACGATTCACCACCTCGCCGTTTGGCATGGTGCAGAGGAAATTCATGCGACAACAATCCGGATAGGGTTTGTGTAAATTCATGGGATCCAAGATGCGACAATCCCGCATGGTATAGTGGCCACAGCTGGAAAAAATGAAATCAAATATAAATCATTTTCTGGACTCTCCGCAATTTGGCAGGCATACATACCCCTGAACCAAAATCGAACCATCCTCGTTACAGCGCAGATTTTGACATGAGTTTACCATATTGTTATCGCCACGCTTTAACATCACGCCATGATACATACAGACTCCGGGCATGTTTAGTTCTGTGGCAGGAGAGATGAGAAAAAAAGAGTTTTTTGTGAATATCAATTTCAGGCGAAGATATTTCGATTTTCATCGTTTCCACTTACTTGCTGGTATTAAAAAACTGTAACCCTGACAGCCAACTGCCATGGCAAGCAGCATCCCAGCCAGTAGTCCAAATATTTTCATTTTGACTTGCTAAAAATTTCGAATAATATTTGTTAAATATCACAAACGTATTGAATGCATTGCACAAATCTGCAAAGGTTTTTATACCCTTAATTGAGCATTTAATCTCGATTTTAATAACTCGAAAACAAAACTGAATCATCATGTTATTTACATTATTTTTCCTGTTCTTATCTCGTGGAATTTTTCGTCCATGCCTACCAATGAACTTCCATTTGTTTTGATGTCTTTTCTGTAAAAGAAGAAAAAACATAATTTATAATTGTTAAGGACTATTAAAAACATAACAAAAAATTTTTAAAATGCAATAAAGTGTGGAAAAACGTCATAAATATGTTTAGTTTAAAAGTTCTATTCGTCTTTTTCTATTTTCGTTTCTAATTGTCATTATGCCTAAAAATATGCTTTAATTTATGTCATTTAAGGTAAAACAAAAATAATTACCATGGAAAGGGTTATAGTTTATTGAATATATATGGGAGCTATATCCAAGTCGGAACCGATCGGTCGGAAAAATTTGGCAAAGATATTTCTGAGCTGTATTTGATATATTTCCCTGAATATCGTTGTTACGGAGTGCATATTACGGCTGTGGGTAACAAATATAACAAATCGGATGAACAATATATATGGGAGCTACATCCAAATCTGAACCGATCTTCACCAAATTTGACATACTAGCTTCTAGACTCAATTCGGTCGCATGTGCCGAATTCCATCCCATTTGGACAAATATTAGACGTTTGGTGCACAATAAAAGGTAAATCGGACGAAGTTATGTATGGGAGCTATATCCAAATCTTAACCGATCTTCACCAAATTTGGCATACTTGCTTCTAGACTCAATTCGGTCGCATGTGCAGAATTCCATCGCATTTGGGCAAATATTAGACGTTTGGTGCACAATAAAAGGTAAATCGGACGAAGTTATATATGGGAGCTATATCCAAATCCTAACCGATCTTCACCAAATTTGGCATACTTGCTTCTAGACTCAATTCGGTCGCATGTAACAAATTCCATCCCATTTGGGCAAATATTAGACGTTTGGTGTACAATAAAAATTAAATCGGACGAAGTTATATATGGGAGCTATATCCAAATCCGAACCGATCTTCACCAAATTTGACATACTAGCTTCTAGACTCAATTCGGTCGCATGTGCCGAATTCCATCCCATTTGGACAAATATTAGACGTTTGGGGCACAATAAAACATAAATCGGACGAAGTTATATATGGGAGCTATATCCAAATCTGAATCGATCTCCATAGAATTTGGCAAATATATTTCTGAGCTGTATTTGATATATTTCCCTGAATATCGTTGTTACGGAGTGCATATTACGGCTGTGGGTAACAAATACAACAAATCGGATGAACAATATATATGGTAGCTATAGCTATATCTGAACCGATTTTCACCAAATTTGACATACTAGCTTCTAGACTCAATTCGGTCGCATGTGCCGAATTCCATCGCATTTGGGCAAATATTAGACGTTTGGTGCACCATAAACGGTAAATCGGACGAAGTTATATATGGGAGCTACATCCAAATCTGAATCGATCTTCACCAAATTTGGCATACTTGCTTCTAGACTCAATTCGGTCGCATGTACCAAATTCCATCCCATTTGAGCAAATATTAGACGTTTGGTGTACAATAAAAAGTAAATCGGACGAAGTTATATATGGGAGCTATATCCAAATCCGAACAAAATTTTCACCAAATTTGACATACTAGCTTCTAGACTCAATTCGGTCGCATGTACCAAATTCCATCCCATTTGGGCAAATATTAGACGTTTGGTGTACAATAAAAAGTAAATCGGACGAACTTATATATGGGAGCTATTGCTATATCTGAACCGATCTTCACCAAATTTGGCATACTTGCTTCTAGACTCAATTCGGTCGCATGTAACAAATTTCATCCCATTTGGACAAATATTAGACGTTTGGGGCCCAATAAAACACAAATCGGACGAAGTTATATATGGGAGCTATATCCAAATCTGAACCGATCTCCATAAAATTTGGCAAAGATATTTCTGAGCTGTATTTGATATATTTCCCTGAATATCGTTGTTACGGAGTGCATATTACGGCTGTAGGTAACAAATACAACAAATCGGATGAACAATATATATGGGAGCTATAGCTATATCTGAACCGATCTTCACCAAATTTGACATACTAGCTTCTAGACTCAATTCGGTCGTAAGTGCCAAAGTTCATCCCATTTGGGCAAATATTAGACGTTTGGTGCACAATAAAAGGTAAATCGGATGAAGTTATATATGGGAGCTACATCCAATTCCGAACCGATCTTCACCAAATTTGACATACTAGCTTCTAGACTCAATTCGGTCGTAAGTGCCAAAGTTCATCCCATTTGGGCAAATATTAGACGTTTGGTGCACAATAAAAGGTAAATCGGATGAAGTTATATATGGGAGCTACATCCAATTCCGAACCGATCTTCACCAAATTTGACATACTAGCTTCTAGACTCAATTCGGTCGCATGTGCCGAATTCCATCCCATTTGGGCAAATATTAGACGTTTGGTGTACAATAAAAAGTAAATCGGACGAAGTTATATATGGGAGCTATATCCAATTCCGAACCGATCTTCACCAAATTTGACATACTAGCTTCTAGACTCAATTCGGTCGTAAGTGCCAAATTCCATCCCATTTGGCCAAATATTAGACGTTTGGGGCACAATTAATTTGAAATCGGATAAAGATATATATGGGAGCTATATCCAAATCTGAACCGATCTCCATAAAATTTGGCAAAGATATTTCTGAGCTTTATTTGATATATTTCCTTGAATATCGTTGTTAGGGAGTGATTATTACGGCTGTGGGTAACAATTATAACAAATCGGATAAACAGTACATATGGGAGCTATAGCTATATCTGAACCGATCTTCACCAAATTTGGCATACTTGCTTCTAGACTCAATTCGGTCGTAAGTGGCAAATTTCATCCCATTTCGACGAATATTAGACAATATTGGTGCACAATAAAAGGTAAATCGGACGAAGTTATATATGGGAGATATATCCAAATCTTAACCGATCTTGATAAAATTTGGCTAAGATATTTCTGAGCTGTATTTGATATATTTCCCTGAATATCGTTGTTAGGGAGTGATTATTACGGCTGTGGGTACCAAATATAACAAATCGGATGAACAGTATATCTGGGAGCTATATTCAAATCCGAACCGATCTTCACCAAATTTGACATACTTGCTTCTAGACTCAATTCGGTCGTAAGTGCCAAATTTCATCCCATTTGGACAAATATTAGACGTTTAGGGCACAATAAAACATAAATCGGACGAAGTTATATATGGGAGCTACATCCAAATCTGAACCGATCTCGATAACATTTAGTATTTCAGAGCTGTATTCGATAAATTTCCCCAAATATTGTTGTTACAGAGTGTATATTACGGCTGCGGAGGACAAAAAATAACAAATCGGATGAACAATATATATGGGAGCTATAGCTATATCTGAACCGATTTCAATCAAATTTGGCATACTTATTTTCAGGCCTAAGTTGGTTGTATGTACCAAATTTCATCCCATTTGGACAAATATTAGACGTTTGGGGCCCAATAAAACATAAATCGGACGAAGTTATATATGGGAGCTATATCCAAATCTGAACCGATCTCCATAAAATTTGGCAAAGATATTTCTGAGCTGTATTTGATATATTTCCCTGAATATCGTTGTTACGGAGTGCATATTACGGCTGTAGGTAACAAATACAACAAATCGGATGAACAATATATATGGGAGCTATAGCTATATCTGAACCGATCTTCACCAAATTTGACATACTAGCTTCTAGACTCAATTCGGTCGTAAGTGCCACATTTCATCCCATTTGGGCAAATATTAGACGTTTGGTGTACAATAAAAAGTAAATCGGACGAAGTTATATATGGGAGCTATATCCAAATCCGAACCGATCTTCACCAAATTTGACATACTAGCTTCTAGACTCAATTCGGTCGCATGTGCGGAATTCTATCCCATTTGGACAAATATTAGACGTTTGGGGCACAATAAAACATAAATCGGACGAAGTTATATGTGGGAGCTATATCCAAATCTGAACCGATCTCGATAAAATTTAACAAAGGTATTTCTGAGCTGTATTTGATATATTTTCCCAAATATTGTTGTTACAGAGTGTATATTACGGCTGCGGAGGACAAAAAATAACAAATCGGATGAACACTATATATGGGAGCTATACCTATATCTAAACCGATTCCGATCAAATTTGGCATACTTATTTTCAGGCCCAATTTGGTTGTATGTGCAAAATTCCATACTATTCGGGCTGATATTACACGTTTGGTGCACAAGAAAAGGCAAATCGGACGAACTTATATATGGGAGCTATTGCTATATCTGAACCGATTTCAATCAAATTTGGCATACTTATTTTCAGGCCTAATTTGGTTGTATGTGCAAAATTCCATACTATTCGGACTGATATTACACGTTTGGTGCACAATAAAAGGCAAATCGGACGAAGATATATATGGGAGCTATATCTAAATTTTGACCGATTATCTCCATTTTCAATAGGGTTCGTCCTTGGGCCAAACAAATGATTTGTGCAAAATTTCATCTGGATAGGGCAATAAATGCGAACTGTACTTTGTTTACAAAAATACATGGACGGACGGACATGCATAAATCGACTCGGAATGTGATTCTATGCTGATCATCAAAAGGAACTATGGGTCTATCTCGTTTCCTTTTGCCTGTTACAAACAAATGCACAAAGACATAATACCCTTATCACACTATGTGGTATAGGTTATAAATATTTCCTGGGGAGTATGAATTGCGAAGTACGAGGTCCTCCTGAACAAAAATCGTGTAGATTTCGTGGATGTTGTTTAGCTTTTAAAATTGTAAGACCTAAAATTGTGGATTTTTTACGGGGACTTTCTGGAACTTCCCGGCGAACGTCATGTAACCAGAGTTCAAAAATCATAGCATTTTTGTCCACAAATCAGCAACTTTATAACA